GGGGGTTAAATGTCCGGGGGTGATTGTCCGGGGGGTAAATGTCCGAGGGGTAATTGCCCGGGGGGTGATTGTCCGGGGGGAGAATTACAGGGGGGTAAATGTCCGGTGGGTAATTGTCCGGGGGTAATTGTCCGGGGGGTGATTGTCCGGGAGGTATTTGTCCTGATACTCTGTTATACATATGTGTGCCTATCATGCTGTTATACATATGCATTATGGTACATGCGCCATGTCATTGTCGTAACAACATTCACCTTGCACCGACTTGATACAGAGTGTGCAAGACTATAGCACTATAGACTATAGAGTGTGATATATAGATAAATAGATAGATAGATAGATAGATAGATATATATAGATAAATAGATAGATAGATAGATAGATAGATAGATAGATAGATAGATAGATAGATAGATAGATAGATAGATAGATAGATAGATAGATAGATAGATAGATAGATAGATAGATAGATAGATAGATAGATAGATAGATAATAGATAGATAGATAGATAGATAGATAGATAGATAGATAGATAGATAGATAGATAGATAGATAGATAGATAGATAGGTAGATAGATAGATGAATAAATGGATAGATGGATAGATAGATAGATAGATAGATAGAATATATAGATCGTATATACATTGGTCTTGTGGGAAAACTGCTCCCTTGAACCCATCCGCCCATGCGAGCTATGGTCCTGCATAATACGCGGTGTGTACGGCAAAGATGTGATGTAGGTGTATATAATGTGGGTTCATGGCGATAGCTAGGGACACCGCGCTCGATATATGGCAATATATGTGTTCATATAAGGCGTGTTCATATGGCAAGCCGTCCTATCGCTTCTCTCTATAACTATGTAGTGCTGTGTAGGAAGTGCTCTTCTTCGCCTTCGAAATCCTAAGAAAGCTCACCCGACTTTCAACAACCTCGATTGTCTTTTGCTAATCGATATGCGTAACCACTATACTGAAATTTAAACTGTTAACGTTGACTCGAAGCCACCTGGGGCCGTTGTCAGAAACATCCCAGTGCACACGCTCGTGGAAGGAAACGCGATATCGATACGGAACATCTGCGGAACATCGATGTCAGCTTGTTGTTTAGTATGTCATGGAGGAGATGACCGAGGATTAATCGTGCTGACTCACCGCTGAGAACGAGGCGGTGACGTTACGCACCGTACGGAGGTTATACAGCCGGGTTCTATTCCGCCTACTGTTATCTTCTAATGTTACCTGCAACATAACGGATGACCGCCCTATCGCATTATATTATTTATAATATTATTATTATTGTTATTATAATTACTTATAATACCGTATTATCGTATTATCGCATTATGTTATATATATTATTATTATTATTATTATTATTATTATTTATAATACGGTATTATCGCGTACTCAGTTCGGTCTACCTATATAGCAGAACCTATATATTGCTCTACCTATATAGATATATACACGTATGTAGTGGAGCGAAGAGCTACGTATGTAGAGCAAGCTAGTTATCGCTCTATTTTGGTCGACGATATATACACGTAATGGGATCCGATGTGAATAAAAACCGGTAAATATGTATCATACCCATTCTGAAGCGCAATACAGCACATCATCTTTATTTAGGCCTAAACTACTAAAGCGCTTTTATGTTTACCGAAAAACGCTGAGTGATTCACAGAAACCAATTAGGGCGAAAATATTATTCGAAACTGTATAACGAAGTCATAGCCAAGTCTATTAAGCAAAAATAATGAAGTTCCTTTTAGAATCTTTCATGGATGATTGCGGAATTGAATACTTAACTTCGCGTTGGACTCTAATTAATTTGACAACGAATGATGTAATTAATATTAATTAGACTTTATTATTACGTTTGCGAGATCCGTTTCAAAGTCAATGATCTGCTGGATCTCTGACGTCACGTTCGTCACATTGTCACTTGCACGGAGTATGCCAGCGACCTGTTCCATGTACTGTCTGTACGAGTTCACGTACTTTTCGAACTGCTCGGTGTCCAGCAGGTATTTTCTAGAGAGGCCAAGACTGGCCTGGTCGATCTGCAAACAAAAGAACATCTCTGCGTTATAAACCCTAGCCGTATTAATTATTAAATTAAGTATTAAATTTATGAGCAGATTCGGGTTAACTTAAAACGCTGGAGACGCTTAAGATTCTTCTTCAGATAATTTCTCTGAAGAAACGCGTTTGGCTTAATTATCTTGTCCTACCAAAGCTGAATCTTCATCGCATCAACGAGCCCATCAAATCATCAATTCCTCTGTCCGAAACGATATTGAATATAACATAGAAGTGAATTACGGACTCAGTCAAATTTGGCTTCAACTCCACTGTTAAATCACCCATTTTAGATTAGCTAAACAGCTACCTAGACTTGTCCCACGTCGTTTGCCACACGTAATCTAATACGGTTATATTGACAATAGACCAGTCTAACTGCAATATCCGTGCGATGACGGTACGTGATTGAGCACCCAGGATGTTTTATTTCCGAAATGCGAGATTGATTTTTAGTGTAAAACTCTAATGCGAAAACACCCCATGATTGCAAAGATACGAGTGGTGTATTTGATGTGGTGATAATGGCGATATATATATATCTAGAGCGAAGAGACGAGAAGAGAGAGGAGAGAGAGAGGAGAGAAAGGAAGGATGCAGAGAGAGAGAGAGAGAGAGAGGGGGACGATGAAGTGAGAGAGAGATAGAGAGAGTGATACTACATACGGCGAGAATGTGTCTGGTGGAGTTGCGATTGTCGGTGACGACGGCCACGTGGTATATAACGGATGCGGCGTCACGTCGCAGACGCGCTAGCAGCTCCGTCAGTCGGAAGTCGCTCTCGTTCCACTCGTCTGCTAGTACGGGCCAGGAGGTGCTGAGGTTGACTCCAGCCAGGTACGCTGTCACGGGTTCGTCCGATAGCTCGTCGACTCGCTCTAACCGAGCAAAAGTTGAGGACAACACAAACGGATGAATAAGCAAGGCGGGACTTTATTATTATTTAAGCAGCTAGGCACCAACAATAGTAAGACACCAACAGCAGCAAGACCAACACTGCAACACCACAGCAACAACACAACAACAACAACACCACAACAACAACACAACAACAACACAACAACAACACTGCAACAACACAACAACAACACAACAAAAACACAACAACAACACAACAACAACACATCAACAACACATCAGCAAC